GGGGGTGGGCTGAGGGGTGGGGGTGGGGTGAGAGTGGGCTGGGGAGTGGGTGAGGAGGGGGAAGTGGGGAGGATGGAGAGGAGTGTGGGCCGATGAGGAGTGTGAGCTGATGGAGGGACAGAGCAAGGAGGACTCTCTGGCTCCCCACCCGGGGTCCTCCAGGCTCCTCTGGCTCAGGGGAGGAAAAGATCAGTTTATTTCAGCAAACTTGCATTGATTTGTGCACCTTTAATTTAAAATATGGATAATTCAGGCCTTTGGGATGCCCTGGAGTTTAACTTTATACTTACAGTGGAAAAAAAAATACTTGCTAAGCAAGGTAGCATCCGTCCGAAGTGAGATGGCGGAACTCTGGAAGAGAAGCCGCTCCCAAGCACTGGGGAAGCCTCCCCTGGGCGTCCGTGGCCGGTCACCGCAGTCTCCGTGTGCCCATCCGAAAGTCACCGGAGCTTTAGAAGCCGATCCTCACCCACACCCCATTATCTCCGCCACCGCAGGACTGAAAACAACAGAGCTGGCATTCTGTAAAAGTATGTGTGCCTGTCTCCGCCATGCGTGCATCCACCCACCCACCTGTGGGTGCAGTCACGAACCCCTGTGTGCAAATGCCTAAGTGCTTGGAGGCTCTGCAGCGTCGTTCAGTGTCATGGTTTGGTAATGAGGGCTCTGGAGGGCAGCTGCACCCCGGTAGGTAGTGGGTGATCGTCAACAGTGTAGACTGGAGGGAGCCGGGCTCTCTGGGGTCAGCGTCCAGGGTCTCTGTGTGACTTGATTTAGCTGTATATTCCTGTCAAGTCACTGAACACTCCCAAGGGCTCTCTGTTTTGTAGTTTTTAAGATGGAAATGACCGCCCCTCTTCTTTTCCTGCAAGCCCCCGTGGAGCCGTGGAGTGGCGACCACGGCTTGGAAACCTTGCTTGTAAGCTGCCAAGGGCCTTCAGTGTGGTTGCAGTAAAGCTGAAGAGCCTGTGTGGTACCATACCCTGTTCTCAGGGAAGTGGAGGCGGGAGGCCCAGGATCAGGGCTACCTTCCCTTGAATGTCAAGTGGGAGGTCATCCTGGGCTATGTAAAACCCTGTCTCGGATAACAGTGCAAGGGAGAAGGAAGGACGGAAGGAAGAGGGAAAGAAAGCAATAGAAGGAAGGAAGGAGGGAGGGAGAGGAGGAAGGAGGGAGGCAGGGAGGCAGGGAGGGAGAGAGGGAGGGAGGGAGGGAGAGGCTCCTGGTTAAGTAGCAAAAGCATGCAAAAAAAAATAAATAAAACCAGCAAATATGTAAAATGTCAATGAAACAGGAAAAAAAATAATAGCCCCAACCCTGAACTATTAAACATGGACTTTAGTTCCCTAAGGTGATCAAGCCCGCTCACTTTGTGTGTAGTGGATGCTCAGGCTTTGTGTGGGTGCAGGCTGCCGGGTCCTCTCTGACCTGCCTTCTAGGGCCGGCTAACAAAGAGTCCCCAGGGCCCAGCTATCACAGACATGAGCACACAGTCTGTCTAAGGAATCCGGGCTGTCCCGACTCCCTGGGCAACACTGAGGCTTGTTAGGAGAGTGGCCTTGTTAGGAGAGTGGCCACTCTCCAGGCTCTCAAGTTGGGGAGCTTCTACAGCTTGGGATGACCCTTTCGCTGCCTGGGGAAAGGGAAGTAAGTCCTTTGTCAACAAACAAAGCCCAGGATGGAGACCACAGTCAAATCCAGTGAGGACTGTTAAACTCCTAGACCCAGCTCTGCCCGACAGATAGCTCCGGTTTCCCAGCCAAGCTGTTCTGTTCCCTCCTTTTGCCTTCCTTCTTTTCCTGAGTCTGTGTCGGGGGCAGTTTGTGTACCTCAGATTAGGTTTTGCCCTGGAACGTTACAGTCCAAAAGTCGAAGTAACTTTGCAGCCTCTCTGAAATCTAGGTGAAAACAAAAAGCGTGAGGGGTGTGGCACACCTCCTCAGACTTTGAGAAAGGGGATGACTTTGTGATGGGAGAGATGAGATCTAAGGATGCGGGCAGACCTCAAGAGAAGGGAAAATACCCCATGGGCGAGTCCATTAAAGATGCAGATCATGAAATGACTGGAGGGTGGGGTGGATCGCAGAGAGCAGGGTGGATTGCCTGTGAGCAGAGTGGGGTGGGGAGAGGGAGTGGAGGGGACATGGAGGAGAAAGAGGGTCAACAAATTAGAATTTGAGGGTGCTGTCTGTCATGTCAGAGGGCTTCTGTGTGTGTCCGTGGTTGCTCTACACACACCAGGGGAACACACCTTTCTAAGTCGACAAAGTCATGGACCAGCTGACTGTTCAGTGTTTCAGGTCTCACCCTCTCGGGATCACATTCGCCCTCAGCAAGTAAAGACAAATAATATAAGGATAAGAAGTCTCCTAGGACTCAAGCTTTGTCAGGATCAGAGCAAGGACAGAGGAAGAAAATGCATGGTAGAAGAAAGGCACCCTAGAGTCTCACAGGAAGCATGGATGGTTTGATCATCCTCTCTTTAGGAAGTGGGTGGAGCTCTGTGGTTTGCAGAAATTCAAATTGGAGATTATAAGCCCTCAAAACAAAAACAAAAACAACTGTAATACTCAAAAAGAAATGAAGGAAAGGGCCGGGCGGAGGTATTGGCTCACGCCTTTAATCCAACACT